TATACCAAAATTTCAACCGCCTAGCTTTTGTGGTTCCCGAGTTGAAAGTGCGGGACAAAATGTGGGCCACACACACACAAACACAACACAGACAACCCCGTGACAATATGCGTTTTGTAACGCTGTTACACAGCACAAAACGCATAAAAATCAGGAAAATTACTTCGAATACGGGGATCAGCTGTAATTCTCATAGCCTGATTTTCCATTTTTGTAGCTAACAGCTTGTCCATTTGCTTATTACCAGTGTTACACTGCCCATTGGTTAGCCTCCTGTCGATCCTGACATCCATTCCATTTTTTGAAGTGATTTACTGCCCTACCGGTTCTCCGGGCAAAATACTTGGCAAGGAGTTAGTTGTGACATCCTGGACAACGTACCTGTATCAGCGATAGTTCCGTTCATAGAACTAAATTAATGTGCAGTGGCCCAGCAAAATAGCTTTGTGGATTTAATTCGATTTACTAGGGAAAAACCATCCATGTGTTCATCTGTGATAAGTAATTTTGAGTATGTCAGATAAAGACCAGATTGTTGCACTTGGACATTCCTGACCCCACCAGTTTTTCGGAAAGTGAATGAGCTTTTCCCTCGGTTTTAAATGGCCCATAGCTAGCATACTGCGATCAGTTTGTTCCTCAGTAGATTTGAGAAGAAGGGAACATCGGCAGTCTTGCCAGCAGCTAGTTGCTTTTAGCATTTGCTACCACTTAGGCTACTTCCCCAATGCCCGTGCCTTCTAGACACAGTGAAGAGGAAGGGGTTTTGGCTTGTAACTTTGAAAATTGACAAAAGTGGTGTCTTTTTACCGGTGCCGTGTGAAGATAGCATTTGATATATCGATCTTTTTCTTTGAAACTTATTGCTTCTAATTTTCGTAAAAAAATTGCAGGCAGCGATGTGAGTGCGCGCGATCGCATTCTTCAGCCTCGATGAAAGAGCTTCTGTACAGTTGGAAAGATGTTTTTTGCAAATTGGAAAATCTGTTCAACAGAAAAGAAAAGCCCACTTTCGCTCTCATAGCATTACCTTTCGTGGTAATGCCTGATGGCGACGATCCGAATAGTTTTCTCATCCAGAAACATTTGCTGCTCAACAGGTACTTCATTATTATTCATTCTCTGATCAGCCATAATTTACAGTTTCATTCATTCTCCATCTGCTCAAATGGCTAATACGCTTTGATTGTTGCTACATCACTTGACGATTAGTGGGCTAAGAATCCCAACGTTCGCTGCCGCTCTCGAAGAGGTCGTTTGGCTCAACGGTTTTCTGAACAGATACACTTCACAAGACTTTAAACATCCTGAGATATCCTGGGTTTTTGCTGGAAATCACCACGTCGTTTCGAACGCGGTCACTCTTTGAATACAACGAGATAAGAAAATATTCTTTGTAGTGCTAATTGAAGTTGCTTCCGGTTCGAATTTTTCTAAATTTATTTACTTTGACTCAAAACAGTGGGGGAATTTTTCCTTTAAACGAAGGGAAGGGAGCAGGGGAGGGGGAAGTGAAGGAG